CCCTAGCTTACCACACAGGCCTAACTAACCTATGAATTAATGCAGTCTCCTTCCTGCAATGGTTTGGGGCACTCCTGCTTAGTGCTCTATGTAAATGAAGCAGCCAGCAACATGTCTCTTAGAGAGTCAGAGAATGCATGTGCTTACAATTGTTAAAAATAAATAAAATTAAATACAACATAGCAAGACTGAAAAAGGAAAGCAATAACTGATAAAGAAAATAGTGTCAAATTCAGCACAGCTGTTAGTTCACAACATCAGAGCAATGCAGTCCCTTTCCATCCAGGCAAAGAGGGATGGTCAGAGACAGGATTTCAAAAGGGCAACAAATGAGAGCGCTTCGGACATCACACACACATGCACATGTGCACACACAGCATGCAACAGCCACCACAAGCAAACACAACAACCCAGCACTGGCACAAAGCACAGGTGGATGCTATGAAGTGCAGTGAAGAGCTACAGTATCAACATGAGAGCTGGTGAAGCAACACGACCCTAACAAAACCAAAAAAAAAGGGGGAAACTGCTAGGGAAGAAAACAAACCCCAAGGTATCCTTCCAGGCACAATCACCCCATCTTAGACCCTCGTGAATGCACATGGATCTCTGGAGCATGTGGAATCCCAGGGATGTTATGGTGACCCACATGTCCCATCTTGGTCCTGTTTCTCATGCCACACCACCAAAGTGTGAAGATTTAGGTTTCTTCCGCTGAGGCCAAGGAAATTAGAAGCATATTCAGAGTTTAAGTGTCTGGCAAACCACTGAACACCAGCATGACAAACTCCAGTTCAAAGGCTTTCAGCTGTTTATAGCATTGTGGTTGGTCAAACGTGTGCACATGCACACGATTTTAGGTTGATCTTTTGTGTTTTTTTGAAATGTGTGCTTTGGAAATGAAGTGTATATATAAAATTACACCAATTCCACTCTCTTAACAAAAGTAATCTATCTTTCCACATTCTCCAGCTGATTTACATTTACAAAACCTGTGACCCTTTGACAAAGGAGTCAGGAAAGGGGGTTCCAAGGATTGCATCTCTTTTATGCAAAGCAATATATCCATGAAGGAGTTGTTCTTGTCAGTCTAAAACAAGAACACAACCAGAAGTGTTCGAGTGCTTTTGAAAAAGATTTTAGCTGAATGCAAATCCTTCTCCACAAATGAAACTGATTCACCTCAATTTACAGAATTTACCCCACAAAAATGAGAGAGCAAGAAGAGGAAGACTCACTCCAAAGTAATATACAAACCCTGTTATTTGATAAGAATTAAGTGGAATATAACAATTAGAATCCTGAACCTGTAACTTTCTTTAATCTAAAACCCAAACATTCAGAAGTCCATAAATACACAGCTGCTGGTGAGCATATGTACGTACAGTGCCACTGTCACTCCACTAAAGGCAGCTCAGATTTTCAAAGAGCAACAGCCACTCTGCATTCTGAGCACCTGAACAATGATTGAAACTTTATTAATACTTAGCTCCAGTTGATCACAGATTTATTTTTACTTGGTGCTGCAAGCACTTGTGTAGCACTCTGTGGTCACTAGGCTCCCTGTGAGTTCCATGCTCACAAGGACTAGACACCCAGGCAGGGTAACGCTGACCTGCACAGTGTCTTTGTAACTTCAGAGAACTTCAAAACTCACATGAAACCAGGTTTAAACCTGGGACTGATTTTACTTTTCTGTAGGAAGGATGTACAAACACTTTTATTAAAAGGAAAAATGCAGCCGTATCAAGCAAAATTCCCAGTTTGAAAGCCCCTAGAGTTTAAATGTAACAAGGAAATATTAGGATAGGGTTTATTTATAACAAAAGCTTCCCTGAACCAAATGAAAAAAGTCAAGTCAGATTTACTAAAAATGCTGATGCTAGTGAAAAATGTACCAAATACAAACCAAAATCTACTCTTGAAAGAAAATTCTTACAAATTAAAGGAAATCCTTATACACTCTCAACACTGAAGCTGCATTGTAATATTACACACAGCCACAATCTTAAAACCATTAGAAACAGAAAATATTTATAAAAGTACAAGAAACCCATTTAATTATTGGACTTCACAGTGTTAACTGAATTTTAGTAGACTCACATTGCAGTGGCATGAACGTAAGTGGAGTAAAGGCTGTATGTGGAATATTCTAAATTCCATCTATGATAGATAAAGAGAGATCCCTGAGTTTACTACATGTGACTGAATAAAGCTGCAATACAAAACTTGCAGTCAATCATCTTATCACCCAAAACTTTTCAACTGCACTGTGCTGTTAAGCCACTGGCATATGAATTCACTAAACAGAGCAAGAATTAAGTTGACTACATAAACACAATCCATCCACTTCAATCCATCCACTTCAGAGTTGAAAAGAGCACCATTAAGTTAGTAAAAAGAAAAAAAGTCAGAGTCTCCAGTCAGCCTAAGTCCCTGCAGCTCCCACCTGGAAATTATTTAAGAAACAAACAGAAGTTTTAATTCACATTTCAACTGTAGAAAGGAGAATTCTGCATTGCTGCCAGTGCTGTACCAACTATACTTACCACTGCTCAGCTTTTACATCCTGTGTTACGTTGACACAAGCCAAAGGATCAATATAGAAACAGAACTTAGCCACCAACAAGGATGTGAGCCACATGAGAGTTGGGATGGTACAAGACACTATCCCTGATAAAAGTCTGGGAGATGTATGTTGCAGAACCATTTGCTATCACAGTCCACATAAAAAGTTTGCAAATGTCTTGTTGCATCTATAATATTAGTTGTGCACTGAAAGGGAAATGGTGCGTGCAGACACAGAATGTCTGGCTATGTGAAAAACTCTGCCATTAATCCTAGTCACCCTCATTTCACCTGTCTGCCTGTCTCTTCACCTACAAAGTGGTGATAATTTACTTACCCACATCTGTAAAATGCCTCAATAGAAAACACTACAGAGGTAAGACTATTTCATATTCTTGTGGCAAATGGGATGAGAGGCTCAGCTCAAGCCATTCCCCATTTTCCCCCCCATGTCTCATTCATACCAGACACACATCAAGGAATAACAATCACTGCAGCTACAAGTGTATTGCAGGATAAGAAAACTCTGTTAGACAACAAGCTTTCACCCAGCACTTTTTTTTAAATGTAACTCTGCACTTGTGACACATGCCATTTCTCCTTCACAATTCACATCCAGAACAAGAGCAATCTAGATCTACTGCCCATTTCACTCAGAAGAAGAATGAAAGATGAAAGTAGGAAAGGGGAGTGCAGAGAGATTACATTGTCTATTCTATTTTTATAGTCAGTACATGAAGATGGAAGGTAAATAACGTGATTAAAGATAGCAGGCAAAGATTCACAGTACAGAAATCAGTTTACACAACAAAGCAGTCACCTAAGTTTAACGAAAGAAGAGGTGATACACTCCAGGTACCAACAGTCAGACTTGTAGTGTGCCCACTGCAGACTGTCTTACTCATGTGCATTCCTGTGTCAGTACAGGCAACAATCTTACCTACTTGGGACAGAGAGCATGCACAGAGAGGTTGTCAACGAAATCCTGCCTCTGACTCCAGGCAAAGAAGAAACAGCATAGAAGACCATATCCCCTTTATGAAGAGGATGACCGACGTCAGACCCCTCATCAGAAAGCCACCAGAAACCCATCTCCATGCTCATCTCTAGCATGCACTTGCTACAGGCCTGTAACTAGTGACACTGGCTCCTGAGCCCTTACCTGCCCTGAAGCTCCCATCTGAGCAGCTTGGGCCTGAGCTGCCTGCACTGCTGCCGCTGCCTGCTGCTGCTGCTGGACCAGCTGAGCTCTTACCTTGAGTATGAAAACAAAAACCAAAGTAAACATACATACCTGATTAGGGTATGACATTTCTGTTTCAACTATATTGACTATTCTCATTAAAAAAACAACGTGGAAACAAGATCAGCCTCGCAAACTAGAGTTTTTGAGGTTACTTTGTAAAAACAAGTTCCCATGTTTATAAGACTCATAACAGTTTTCCCCTAGACTGCACACTTTGATTCAATTTCTTCTTGCAACCTCTTCCCTGTACAGTCAGGACTTCCATAACAATACCAGATACTTAACTTTCTAGCAAGCAATGAACCACATGTTCATTTCCCTTAACCACCTACAGATGACCAACCAGCAATGTTTATACATTCATTACAACTGTCAGTGTGATGCACATGACATATAACTCCTCCCAGCTTAGCTGATAGGAGCACAAAGTGGATGGATCAACTCATCCATTTCTCAAGTGTGGCTGACACTCCACTCCTCCCCAGTAAAGCCCAAGGAAAAGCAGGACCATAAGAAACCAACAATCAGTGGTTACTAGTCCTTACCTGCATTGCTTTTAACTGCTGTGGTGTAAGAGTAACAGGCATAACCTGACCAGGAATTTGTCCTGAGATTGCCTGTGGCTGAGACACCATGGGCTGGGGTTGAGGCTGGGACTGTGGTGGAAGTTGAGACTGTTGTGCCTGAGCAACCTGCTGTTGCTGTTGTTGCTGCTGCTGCTGTTGCTGCTGTTGTTGCTGCTGCATCTGCTGCATCTGCTGTTGCATTACTTGTTGAGGTGGCTGCTGCTGGATCTGTTGTTGTGGTATTTGTTGCTGTTGTTGCTGCTGCTGCTGTTGCTGTTGCTGCTGTGCCTGCATGGCCTGTGCTGCCTGCAGCTGCTGCATCTGGGCAATCCGCTGCAGTTGCTGCTGCTGCTGTTGCTGCTGCATCTGAAAAGCAGGAAGAGCCAGGATGCTAAAGCTTCCAGCAGTACAACAGCAGACTTATAGCATAAACCAAGAGCAAACAGAATCCTAATACATCAAGCTGAGGTTTTAAGCCCAAAGGGAAAGGCCAACCTTTTTACCCACTCATTTTTCATATATCTCAACCCTACATAGTGCACATCCCGTAGTTTTGACATTACAAGCTTTCCTCTCTACGAAAACAATTTTCAAAAGCAAAGGTGAAGTCCATCAGCTTCTCCTGTAGAAATGGGCTCAGACATGCTTCTTCAAATGCAACCACCCTTCACAAAAACTGCACAAGAATATGACAGCTAAAGTTTCCTCATCTGCTTTTGTGCCTAAGGATGACACAGATGTATATATTTATGATGTGTTTGGCACACATTTTTTATAGTGGCAATGTGTTATTCACACAATGACAAAACAGCCACTATTGCTACAGTAATTCAAGTGCTGTTAAGTTCTTTCCCACATACCAATTCTTGTCAGAATGAAAGACAATCCTGACATTTATAAAGAGAAAGAGACAAATATATTCATTCTCCATTGCTGAGACAGAAGAAAGCAACCATACATCTGTTAAGCCTTCCTCCAGGATGTAATATATTGTTGTCAATTAACTTGCCAGTCTAACCTGAAGCCCTACTCTGAAGTGGAAACAGGTTAGTAGCAGGCAGAGCTAATAATCTACTTCCACACAGGCCAAGCCTCGCTTGACAAGTAATTGATCACAGATCACCTCATTTGCCATTGTAGCTGTTTGTCATTCACCTGCTGTTGGTTTTGCTGCTGCTGCATCTGCAGTTTCAGCATGTGCTGCTGCTGCTGCTGGACAGCTTGCAACTGCTGCTGTTGCTGCTGCTGTTGCTGGGCCGCCGCAGCTGCCGCTGCCTGCTGCTGCTGGACCTGAAACTGCTGCTGCATGGCTGACTGCTGGGCCTGGAACTGCTGCTGCTGCAAAGCCACCTGCTGCTGCTGGAATTGCTGCTGCTGCTGCTGTTGCTGCTGAGCTATCTGCTGAAGCTGAAGTTGGGCTAAAAAGAAGATACACTATACTTAAAACATGAGACCCAAACAGTGCGAGATTAATGTTCTTCATTAGCAGCATATGCTTTTGATTCTTCATATGGATGAGTCACACCAAGTAAAGAAAGTAACAACATGCAGGAGGAAATGTGCATGGAGGTCACCAGCAGGAAGCACCACACCCATAGACAACACAGGTGAGCTCTACAAAAACCACATTCTGAGGTTGACATTGGAAGGACAAAAGAAGAATTTGCTCACACAATGGCTAGACTGTTCCTTGCTATACTAAGGAAGTATCATAGAATGACAGAATTTAGGGGTTGGAATGGACTTTACAAATCACCTAGTCCCAACACCTGCCCTGGGCAGGGACACCTCCTCACTAGATCAGGTTGCTCAAGGCCTCATCCAGCCTGGCCTTGAACACTGCCATGGTCGGGGCAGCCACTACTTCCCTGGGCAACCTGTGCCAGTGTCTCACCACCCTTACCGTAAAAAAATTTTTTCAAATATCTAACCTAAACTTCCCCTCCTTCAGTTTGAACCCATTACCCCGTGTCCTAAAGAAAAGGCATTTATCCCAAGACATTTACCCCATTAGGTAGCAGTACTTAAAATCAATTCTTCCCACAGCATGCTTGGCTGATTTAGTCAGAAGTATGACATCTCCTCAGCACCTTTTCCTTGGGGAAAAGAGTTGTTACTGAAAAGCTGATCTAACAACTTCAGTGGTTGAAGCAAACTGAACACTTACTCTGCTGAGTAGCTGTAGAGACACCAGGCATACCATGAGGGGCCATTCCTGAGGTTCCAGGAGGCTGCTGCTGCCCTGTGAGACTCATCTGTTGTCCCATTGGACCAAGGCCACTCATCCCACTCATGGGTGCTCCCTGAGCTCGGGATGCCATGCCCATTCCAGGTGCCCCTGCTGTGGGACCCCCAGTTAGATTCTGCACTGCTGAGTAGCTGTAGAGACACCAGGCATACCATGAGGGGCCATTCCTGAGGTTCCAGGAGGCTGCTGCTGCCCTGTGAGACTCATCTGTTGTCCCATTGGACCAAGGCCACTCATCCCACTCATGGGTGCTCCCTGAGCTCGGGATGCCATGCCCATTCCAGGTGCCCCTGCTGTGGGACCCCCAGTTAGATTCTGCAGGGCATTCATGGATAAGGGAAATGAGTTACCAATATGCAGTCAGCTATGCAATTGCCTCCCCCAAAATCCTCTGTTCTCCATCATTCACTCTCTGATCTGTTGGCTTCAGATCGTGACTGGATCCAATACCTCAAGAAACTAAGATTCACTACTCTGCCTGTGAGACAAGAGGCCTCTGGCACATCTTTGCCTCTCTGTAAATAGAGTGGAGATTATTTAAAGTGCTCCAGAGTTGCAAAGTTCCACAAAGATTCTAAATACATTAGAGAAAAGGAACTTAATAGCTACCTCTGAACTTATACACAAGTCAAAATACGCTGCCAACCAAACTCCATCAGGATATAGAGCTTATAACCTCAAAAACAAGACAAAAATCCCACTGTGGGTCCTCTTCCTTCTGAAGTCAGATGGAGAAGCAATGCTCAAACCAGAGCAAGTATTCTGCTATACAGTTCCCCCTCTAACATTACTTTCATATGCAGTTGATAAATTCAATGCCTTTCAAGACAACTATTGTAATATAAATCCTGAGCACACAGAAAAGTGAAGTCAAAGAGAGAAAGACAATTCAAGAGAGCAAAATACAACATGGGGTGCAGAAGTAATATTAATCAGGCACAGAATGCAGCACCCCCTCTTTCTAATGAATACTTATAAAATGATTCCCAGCTGTCGAGGCAGCATGTCAATCAGTGACAGACACTGCGTATTTAGCCTACAGAGGGATAAAAGCAGAGAATCATACTATGTTCCTAACACATACTGCAGCAAAAACTAGCACAGAGGCAGAACACAAGATCAGATCTAACCTCAGCCAAATGGCCAAGTACACACACCCCACAAACACAATGTTTGCCTCTGATGCAACACTCTGAGGAACCCAAAGCTGGGAACAGGCACAAACCTGGGCTGTTCAGCAGAAGATGATTTTCAATCACTCTTGTGTTTTCAAGTCACGAGCTAACAAGGTACAAACAGGGAAACAAACAAGTCTCCTGTGTTACATCCAAGCCTGTCGCACTCATCGCTGAAGAATTCCAAGACTATCATGCTACCTTTCCTTTCCTCCAGCATTATGTAATATTCCAGCTAGGGGATCCACAGCTCATTTATTCTTAGTACTCCACAGCCTGGATTTCTAAGCTGTTCTGTTTGGAAATGGGAGTGCAAAGGGAAGGGGGGAAAAAAAAAAAAAGGAGCTCTTACCACTGACTGAGGCTTGAGATTTCTTATTGTCTGCAAAGAAAAAACAATTAATCATCCTTGTTAATCATGTCACACACAAATTTGGCCCTTTGGATATACTCTCTACAAGAAACATATTCACATCACAATTTAAAAAATTTTTTAAATCACTGTCTACTGTGGTTCTAATAAAACACTTTAACCTAAGTCAATTTGGTAACTGGAATGCTACATAAGCAATGGAAGGAAGGCAAAAATACAGGAAAAATTAGGAAGGTGGAAAAGTAGCAAATTTAAATAATTTCTCAAATGCTTTTCAATTATAGATGATGTGTAAAAGAAATAGTATTTAGAAATTAGCATGCATATTACAGGAAGGTTTTGAAAGCAACTTGTGAAGAGTCACATGCAGAATGACAGATGAACTCCCAAAATTTCGTGCTTTTTCAGGAAGATGCAATGAGCAACCCCATGACTGAGAGAAAAACTAAGCAAAACAAAAAATTACTTACGAATATCTCGAAAATGGATAATAAGTCTGGCCACAAGAGAAAGATACTCCTCCTAAAGGAGAAAAACAAGTATTTCAGCATCAGAAATAAAAACAGACCAACCATTACTTTCTGGTTCTTCAGTACTCTTCCTCAACATACCAGATCCTACCTTACAATGTCTGTGGGCTTTTCAGAGCAGTTCATTGGCAAGGAACAGTCTATTCATTAACTAAGTCCAAATACTTTTACTAACAGGTCATTGTGGTGGATGGTATGAGAAGGCCACAAAATTCACAGGAATGAACTTCCGTGACAATCACTAACAGGATCACAACATGTGAATATTATAAATCAATATATTCATTTTTCACTTCTTATCCACTATAATTCCTTCTTCATAAGGACTGAACCTGCTTACTTGGCAAACTGCCTTAATTTAGTCCCTGAATTATGTCACATTCACACAACAAGAACATTTTTTAAGCTAAGTTCATATTACAAATACAAGTAAATTAACAATTTTGAAGACTAGCAAGACAGAAGTGTCAGAAGTGAAAAGATAAATATTCTTTGCAGCATTTTATTTGTGTGCTTCATAACATGTAAGAAACTGCACAGGGCTGAGACAGCCTTCCTGCCCATGAACTACCAACTCAGCAGTGACAGGACCAACAGTAGGAAGAGATTTGTGACATATATAAAATTTTCACCAAGAATAGTTCTCTCTCAAAAGTGACTTGTTTGGGGACAGCAACAGTACCCAATATCTCTTAACACAGCTCTGTGGAAGAAGTTTATGTTTTGGTAGAGCGTAGAATTGTAAATTATAGCCAGACTTTCACAGAGACCTCAGCACTTCCCCTGGTGTTACTCTTGACAAAACCTTTTTATTGATTCCTTTGGCTTTTCCAATCAAACTGGAACGGTGCTACATTGTAGATAAAGGAAATTCTATGCAATTCACTACACACAACTATTCAGATAAGAACTGAGTGGGGTTCCATACATGCATTGGTTCCAATTGCTTTAGCACCAGCAAGTCCAGTTTGATGCATATATTGGATGCAGAACACCTCACTTACCCCTAAGGGTAAAAGAAGCACATATACACCAAAATTCCTATTAACTCTGTATTCTAAGCACACAGTTAACTAAGTGCATTGGGTTTGCTATTTCTGCAGTTTGTTCCAAACTTCTTTTGACACCCAATAACTTCTGGAAGCAAAGAGAGATGTTTTACCCTTGTTTTGGCCTTCATAAACACATGGCTCTCCATATCTTTGCTGGATTTATTATGGGCAACACCAGCTTTCCTCATAGCTTCATCACTGGAAAAAAAAAAGAGAAAAAAACAAGGTTGAGTATTAATTGCGGACATCACAAAATACCTGCTGCAGTTAGAAAGGTTTGTGAAACAGCTTTTTACCCCTCTCTCATTTACATATTTTAAAATACAACCAACAAAACAAACCCCAAACAAGCACTGCACACATTACTTAAAATCACCACCCCTTAAAGATTCTGCAAAACATGGAGAAAAAAAGCCAACTAATTTCTAAAAGGACACACAAATATTCTTTGCAGATATTCAACACTAACTGCTAAGCAAGTCATTATTTTATCATCTGATGTTGTATTTTAATAAAATACCAGGACTTGTTCATTTAAGGAAAGCTGAATGACAGGATTAATGCAATCCATGTTTGGAAAACAATGAGTCTGAGCTGCCTAGCAGCAGAATTTTCAACAGTCCTCATAAGGTGGAAAAGTAAAAAAATATTTTATAAAGATTACCTAAAGGCATAGAGGCTTGACCAATGAGAGAGGATAACGAGTGGGAGCATTGATTAGGAAGAGAAGAGCAGAGGTGCAGCGATGGGCAGGGTGGGAAGGGACACGAATGGAGAAGAAGAGGTATTCTCAGTGCATCAAAAAGCAGCAAGGAATTCATCCGTGGAACATACAAAGAGAAAGATGTCCTAAAACAAGGAGCTCAGCCAGGTGAACAGCCCTGTTCAAATCCTCTAGGCATTCTCATTCATGGAAACTTCCCTGCAAAACCTGTTCTGTTTTAAAGCAGCCTAGCAGCTAGAGTCTAAATTCCACAAACAAGTGATCAGGAAATACCTTCACCTTGTAATTAACATATCAAAAACTTATTCCTCAGTAGCTGCTGTGGCATAAGCAGCTACTCTACACCAAATGCAGGTTAGGGTAGAGACCACAAAAGCTTCAGCCACTCTGAAGGGGCACTACTATTTTCTTTCCCCTGAA